CAGAACTAATTACCCTAATTGTGCAATCAATAACAAATGTGCATGTTGCAGCGACTTGAAGTATTTTTGTAGTGTCCCGTGAACTCCATGACTTGCATGCATTTTCTTTTTGATGGACCTCTCACAAACCCACACTTCCATATGGGACTTTGTTCCAGCACGTTAAACCTTAGAAAAAAGTCTGCCCTGCATGTTTTTCTTTTTTTTTTCCATCTGTAAAGAGAGAGCTTTTTACTGCCTGTTGATGGAATCTTTGCTCTGCTGCAGAGCTACACCACCCAAAGAATCTTTACATCCAACACACTTCCAGGTGTGTCTGATGCCCGTTCCCCCTGCCACGGTCTGTTGGACCTTTTGTTGGCCCCTTACATTTTTAATGTGTCCTGTATGATGAACTAAAGAGTGCAGAGGGAGAAGCAGGCATCGGACACTCCCAGAAGTGAGAAGAATTAATGAACATGTGCCCAGCCAGGTCATTATAAAGTCTCTTCCTTTACAGGCGCTATATGTTTTACTTTTCAACAACAGGATCTCTGTAAGAGACTATTTTTCATAATTAAAAAAAGAATAGCTAGAGGTCAACATCTATGATTAACCCTTAATAAAAAAAAAATACCTTTGTTACAATTCAATTAAAAAAAAAAGTTCTGTTCTGATTTGGGTTGTCATTGGTATTTGTTGTTGCACTGAAGGAATATTGAAGAAATCTTAGCAGCCAAGGGGGAAAAGGTTAATCGTGTTGTGGGCGAAGACGCCCTGGAGCTGCTGCTTGAGAGCAGTACACGAGGAGAAGCTTCAGATCAGCCAGAAGACCACAACAAACTGGCCTCTTCCTCAAGCCCAGAAGATAAGTCTGTCTCGTGATGCAGTTGATGACCAACGAACGGACTTGGTGGTGGGTAAAGGGACAATATTCTGAACTATAAAGATGGTTTCCTCATAAGGTTCTATAGAGTGAGGACAGCCATCTTGTTGATACCTTTAATCCATCTACCACCATATGACTAGAGGACAGGCCGAAATCAGCTTTGTTTATCCTGACCTAACACGAAAGGAGGAACGGAAACTGTTGGACATTACTGTTGTCACTTATATTGTATAGGACTTTTTATTCTGCTTGGTGTTCCTCTTAAAGTGTTGTTTAATAATATATTACTGCAACATGCGTGAATCGGAAGGTGATAAAAAAGATGCATCTGAATAGCAGGCAGAGATCATAAGCTTTCTTCTTAACAGCAGCCTTTTCATAGATAGAAAGACTCTTCTGCTTTATTTGCTTTGTGCTGAAATAGGACCCGCCACTGCATACTTCTTGTTTCTGGGACTTTGTTCTGGAGGTTAGTTTTAGAAACCCTTATGATGTATATTTTTACATGTATGTCCTTTCTTTCTATGTATCATTCAGAGGTATGGAAGACATTTTATATCTATGCAATAAAAAGATTTGTGCAATGAATGATTGAAGAGTCCTGCATGATATGAAAGAAAACCTGTACTTTGCCTTTCCAAGCACCTCAAAACTTTCCTTCTCCCCCACAAATCCATTCAGCCACTGAGAGCAAATGTCGAGTACTTTGGGGAATGTAGGAGATGTGTCAGTCTCCTACCTCTTGTGAAAGAGCTTGGTTATTGGTCAGTGCAGTTACATGGTGTGGGGACACAGTCCTCAGGCTTGTGTCAGCTCCAACTAGAATTGCTTCATTTTCCCACTTCTGCTAGCTGAATGGCCTGCAGGGGAATGGAATATATTTTGCTGAAGATTTGGCACATTTAGGTGTACGTATCGTTTCACCATGTGATTAAAACCAAACATGGTGATCCATGAACTGACAAACATTTCTCTAGAACAGCCTTTCATAAACCCAGATATACCTATGCTGCACAGTAGAACCTTCTTGGGAAGTATCCCAGCAATTTAAAGTGTATGTAAACCCTAAATCTATTTCTCAGTATGTTGAGCAGCTCGCCTTACTGTATACAGTTTTCTTAACCACTTGAAGTCCAGCTGTTTACACCCCCTTCCTGGCCAGGTCATTTCTTAGTATTCAGCGCTGCGGTACTTTGACTCATTTATTCCATCATACAACGCTGTACTGAAATTAATTTTATAGCATTTTTTGGGGACAGATAGAGGTTTCTTTTGGTGGTAATACAAGCGATCCAGCGGTTCTACAGTCGCCAGACCGTTGTATGTAAACAGCCATCGCTGGCAGTTTTCCCACTCAACGCACACAAGTGGGACGGGCGAGGACGTCTAAAAACGTCCTATCACGTCCAAGATTTTTAGTTTTTATATGAATCTGCTTAAGGGACTGTGTCAATGGGCTTTTGCTCACTACAAGCTGGTCAGTTGATTGTGAATGAGCTTAGAAGCGTCTCAAACTGATGCCATTGACAGAAGCCCCAAGCACATTGACTCAGGCCCTAAGAGTTTCTTACCCGGTGATCCTGCCAGTAACCACATTTTCTTGTTGTAGGCTGACAGAGCTAAACCACTGCCCCACACTTGTGGTGTGTATGTCAATTGGCCGTTAGACTGTCCATCTGCTAGAACTAATCAGCAGCCCGATAACCAACTGCAGTCATGTACAAAGCTGGCTGACTGCAAGGCAGTATCATATCATTATTATAATAAAATATCCAGTGATGAAAAGTTCCTAATCATGTTCCTCTTTGGAATCCTCTCTGTAAATAGATACTTTGTAGCTCTTCCACTTCCTTAACCGAAGCACATGTCACATATCAAAGTGTGTTATAATGAATGCCAAAAAGAAACACTCACCAGATCCACTGAGCCCGCAGACTAAAGCTAGCCATACACCTATAGATTATCTGAAGATTTCCTATGGTTGGATGGAAAAAGTGCAACAGATTCCTCCATCTACGCTAAACTGTGTGGATGGAGGAATCTCCCACTGGGCCAAGCTTTAGTATCTTGCTAGTTGGCCCCACTGGCTGTCAAAATACCTGAACAATGCCTGCATCCAATCAAATTGTTCAGGTATTTTGAGAGCCAGCGGCGCCGACTAGCAAGATACTGAAGCTTCTTGTTGAGGACAGGGGCAGGGTCGCCGTGGTTTACTAGTAAGTGTTGTCACCCTGGGACAAGCAGCGTGTTACTGGCAGTATCATCAAATGAAAAATAACACAAGAAGAAAATGATAAAAGGAAACTAAAGCACACACCACATTTGAGGACTGAAATGTATTAGGTTTTTGTTCTTGAGTTTAGGTGCACTTTAAGCTGATATCTGGTGAATAGCTGAACTTTGCACTAAACATTGCAGAGTACAATTGCTGTAGTGCATATTTACCAAATAATGGCAAGAGCCATACATTATGGTGGCTTTTCATAAGGGCCAGGCTGCAGTGATGTGCCAAAATACACTATATTACCAGAAGTATTGGGACACCCCTCCAAATCATTGGATTCAGGTGTTCCGTGACATTTCCTTGCTACTAAATATTTCACAGTCAACGGTTAGTGGTATTATAACAAAGTGGAAGCAACTGGGAACAACAGCAACTCAGCCACGAAGTGGTAGGCCACGTAAAATGACAGAGAGGGCTCAGCGCATGCTGAAGTGCACAGTGCGCAGAAGTCGCCAACTGTCTGCAGACTCAATAGCTACAGTTCTCCAAACTTCGTGTGGCCTTCAGATTGGCACAACACCAGTGCGTAGAGAGCTTCATGGAATGGGTTTTCATGACTGTGCAGCTGCATCCAAGCCTTACATCACCAAGTGCAATGCAAAGCATCGGTGGTGTAAAGCACGCCGTCACTGGACTCGAGAAGTGGAGACGTGTTCTCTGGAGTGACGAATCACGCTTCTCTGTCTGGCCATACGATGGACGTGTCTGGGTTTAGCAGTTGCCAGGAGAACGGTACTTGCCTGACTGCATTGTGCCAAGTGTAAAGTTTGGTGGAGGGGGGATTATGGTGTGGGGTTGTTTTTCAGGGGTTGGGCTTGGCCACCTTAGTTCCAGTGAAGGGAACTCTTAAGGCATCAGCATACCAAGACATTTTGGACAATTTAATGCTCCCAACTTTGTGAGAACAGTTTGGGGATGTCCCCTTCCTGTTCCAACATGACTGCGCACCGATGCACAAAGCAAGGTCCATAAAGACATGGATGAGCGAGTTTGGGATAGAGGAACTTGACTGGCCTGCACAGAGTCCTGACCTCAACCCGATAGAACACCTTTTGGATGAATTAGAGCGGAGACTGCGAGCCAGGCCTCGTCCAACATCAGTACCTGACCTCACAAATGTGCTCCTGGAAGAATGGTCAAACATTCCCATAGACACACTCCTAAACCTTGTGGACGCCTTCCCAGAAGCTGTTATAGCTACAAAGGGTGGACCAACTCAATATTGAACCCTACGGACTAAGACTGGGATGCCATTAAAGTTTATGTGCGTGTAAATGCAGGCGTCTCAATACTTTTGGTAATATAGTGTACGTTTTCATTGATCAGAAGCATGTTTACAGTGGCCTGGGATTGCCACTCGGTGGTGCTGTTACTTCTGCCTTGGTAATCTGTTCCGTTCCTGAGGTTGAAGTGTCTGAATGCTTGGTAAGTAGGTGACACATCCGGGTTGTAAGGATGCAAAAAAATTTACAACTCTTTCTAAACAGCGGTGTTAGAGATTGCAGAACTATTTCATATCGAAAACAACCAAATAATATTACACACCTTCTTCCTTTTAGAAAGACTTGACTTTTGTGGAAACCTATTTATAGTGTCCCCGTAGCAGGCATGTTTGCTGAACATTGATTTGTTTTTGTTCTCGGTGCCCCCTCTTTCTCCTCAATAGGCCATAACAGCTTAGTGGGTCTATACAACGTATAAAGAAAAAAAATCAGCTCTCAGCAATTGAAGCTTTCCATACTCTGATGCTGCATGCGCTGTGTGTGAATGATGGTTTGAAGGTTTGGGCACATAGTTGGGGGTGCGTTATAGCTACTAATTGGCACATACGTTGCTGTTCTCTTTTGCTACTTGCTATGGGGAAAGTGTAGACAGCAGATAACCATGCTGGCCTACTTTTTTTTATTGGTAACAATGAATAAAATCCTGCAAACACACCATGGCTAATAAACACAATTTGCAATTCTTATTAATTGACTCACTTTTTTTCCAGTATTGCATCAAGTAGAGCAGTGGTTCTCAACCTGTGGGTCGGGACCCCCTCGGGGGTCGAATGACGATTTACCAGGGGTCGCCTAGTGGCTCTCGACTGCCGGGAGAGAAACACTTTCTCCCGGAAAAATCGGGGGCCGCCGTAAGTCAGAAAAAAAAACCCCACCATAGGAATGCATAGCTAGATTCCTATTGGCTATTTCACTTTGCAAAAGCCAATAGCAAACTAGCTATTGCACCCGCCCTCTGATGCTGCCAATCAGCAGAGGGGGACCTGAAGTTCTCCATCAGGTCCCCTTCTAGTGATTGACAGCAGCAGAGGGCGGGTGCAATATGTATGTATTCAAGCAAAAAATATGTAAAACACACCTCTAGCTATGCATTCCATTTTCCCGGTCCGCAGCTGCAGAGATTGGGAAATGTCTCAGTGCCTGTGATTGGCGCTGTCAGCTTCCTGGCAGGCTCGGCACGTGGAGCTGCGAACATGCCAGAGCCCATCCCTATCAGTGACAGTACTGCAGAGTATGTACCTCATATGTTAAATCCAATTCTTCTAGTTCCAGCTGCAGAGCCCGGTCCTGTCTTTGCCTATAGCAGTGGTTCTCAACCTGTGGGTTGCTGAGCAAGGTAAGAGTCCTCCTCAGCTCTCTCCTAGCGCAGCAGTGTCAGTTCTCCTGCCACGCCTCCAGATGTCGCTGCAGCAGCCGCGTCATCCCTAAATTTTACCTTT